CCGGCCCCTCCGCGCCGCGCCGCTCCGCCCCGCGCCCGCCCCGGATCACAGCAAGGTGCGCGGCGAGGGGGAGCGCGGTTTACGGTTTCAAAGCCCCCGCGCCGCATTAGCATGTGCCGCCGGGCGCCGCTTATAAAGGCGCAGCGCGGGGCGCGGCAGCACCGCCCGCGCGCTCCTCGCCGCCGCTCCCGCTGCCTCCGCTCCGCATCATCCCGCGCAGCCGCCGCCCATGCCCCATGCTCGCCATGGCCCCGCTGGGCGAGCTGGGCGCCTTCCTGGGCGGCCTCGAGGGCCACGGGCCGCCCGTGCTGGGCGCGCACTTCCTGCTGCCGCCGCCCGGCGAGCGCGCGCCCGCGGAGCGCGCGCCCGCGCCCGCGGAGCTGGCGCACCTGCAGGGCGTGCTGCGCCGGCGGCAGCTCTACTGCCGCACCGGCTTCCACCTGCAGATCCTGCCCGGCGGCAGCGTGCGCGGCACCCGCCACGACCACAGCCCCTTCGGTAGGTGCGCGCCTGGGTGCGCCTATATGTGTGCCTGGGTGCGCCTATATGTGTGCCTGGGTGCGCCTATATGTGTGCCTGGGTGCGCCTATATGTGTGCCTGGGTGTGCCTATATGTGTGGGTGCACGTGCTGCTGTGTGTGTGTGTGTGCAGGGGCACTGGTGTGTATGTGCATGCACATGCACCTGTGTGTGGACTCATGCACCTGTGTGTGTGCACACCTGTGTGTGTACATCTGCACCTACATGTGTGTGTATGTGTGTGTTCATGTGCACTGATATGTGTGTGTGCATGTATGTGTGTGTACATGTGCACCTATGTGTGTATATGCATGCACACGTGCATGCATATACACCTACATGTGCTTGCCTGTATGTGTATGCACGTGCAGCTGTATATGTGTGTGCACCTGCATGTGCATATGCATACATGTGTTTGCGCACCTGTGTAGGTGTATGCACCTCTGCATGTATGCACGCATACATGTGCATGTGTGTGCATGCACACCTGTATTCACGTGTGTGCATGTGCACACGTGTGTGTTCCTGTGCGTCCGGGGATGTCCCGCACCGCTGCAATGAGTGAGCGGCTGGGCTCTGTGCTGCCCTGGGGCTCCGCAGTGTCCGGCCGAGGGTGCTGCRCAGGGCAGTGCCGCCGGCGCGAGGGGAGCGCGGCGATAGATGGGTCAGTCCCAGCTGCCAGCTCTGTCGCAGCGTCTGGAGGCCTCGTGCGTCCCTAGAGATCGGCGACTCGGCCCCTGGCTCCCTTTCCTCTGCGCTTCGTTTTGCAGAGCAGAAAGTTGARGCGGGGAGACCTGAACTGCCTTTGCTCAAATGCTTAAAAATGCTTCGTGCCCGTTCAATATACGGGAAGGAGGAGAGGACAAGGGGAGARTGTGAATGTTTACTGTGGTGTAAGCGTCAGTGCTAAATAAGGGGTGCAGGCACTGAACATCTGAACAAAGCTGTTGTTGTCAACTGCATGTGAATTCTGGTGTGCATTGATTTAGCAGTCATAAAAAGGTGATTAAAGAGTTTCCTACCATCTTCCCCATAGTCAAAACAATCCGCTGGAATGGCTCTTAATTGCTTTTATAACACATGGATGTTTTCAAAAGTAGAAGGGCAGGAGTCAAACAGAAAGTTCTCCTCAGAAAGGAGATTTCCTACAGCATGTAAACATGAAATAAATCTTTGCTTAAAAAGAGGAAAAAAAAACCCCTAGCCCCAGATCAAACATTCCTGGGCTTTTTAGAAATGTTCTTCCTTTATTCTACCACTATTCTCCGCAGGTTTGTCTGATGTGGTTGCTTTGTGGGTTGAATCACCTGCTTATTAGAGTTTTGAGAAAGGGTGGCTTTGAAAATGATACCAGAAAAACAAAATACCCTTACCTCTCTTTTATGGGATTTTGTGCTTTAGGAACTGGAAAACCTATGATGTTTTACATGCAGTAGGATTTTTAAATGCTTACTCTTTGTAAAGTATTTGCTTCCTTTGCTGCTTGGTAGTATAAATAAGCAACATGCCAAGGCGCAATTAAAATTCAAACCATTTTAGATTCTTGTATAGTCCAGACAGTCCATCTGTCTTAGAGTGAAAAATGGTCCTGAATGAAAAGGAGTAGGCACAAATATGGAAAACAGACAAAAAGACGTAGTGTAAGTGAATCACTCCCCTAAAATCCAGGTTTTTGKTTTTTTTAATGTTGTGTGGGTTGTTTGCTGCACAGCAAAAACCTTAGGTTTGATTCTGGAGCAACTGCTTTTTGAAGCTTTGTTTATGCTGTTAACTTACAAAAAGCCAGTTCACACATTCCCTTTCTTTCATATTTCATACACAATGTAATCTGTGCATATCAATTGGTTAAACGTGTTGTGCATACGCTTGCCAAATTGCACGCTTCAAATAGCGCCCCATGCTCCCCATTACTTTGGTCCGAATCATAATATGTGTTAACACAAGATTACTACCTAAACAGTAACTAGTAAATAGTTACTATAAATAGTGCTATAATTCAAACATTAGAAAATAAGCAATATAATTCATGCACATGAAAAGCCCGCATTGATGATAGCAAGTTGTGTCAAGAGGTGTGGGCCCATATGCTGGATAAGATGTCTGGCAAATACTTTTTTTTTCTTTTTTTTTTTTTTTTGTGGTTAGATGCTGTTTTATAAAATTCCCATCTGTACTTTGATTTCCATTCAAATGCTGTAATAATGGAAATGTTTTCTTAAGATAATGCTATAGAGAAGGCAAAATATGTTTTTGGGTTATTCAAGCCTATCTTCCAGTGTTTGAGTTAGAAGTTTGGCAAATAGTRTATAGTCATTATAGATTGCAGTGTATAGTACTTTAGCCTGAGGGATGAATGGAATCCTTTCTTAGTTGAAATAAAAAGATTTCTTTAAGGAATGTAGCATTTCCCCAAGCTGGGGCTTCTCAGGCCGTTTTCCTGTGAAAGCCATCAACATTTACACTCAATATTTGCAATTTCAGAAAATGTATGTTTATTACAATAAATGTGTTTTCTTTCCACTTTCAATTGTATTTTAGATTTGATTCTTGCCTTTTGTCACAGGCTGAATTAAAGGYGTCTCTTCTATTTTTCCCTTTTGTTGTTCAGGYATCCTGGAGTTCATCAGTGTGGCGGTGGGACTGGTCAGCATTAGAGGTGTGGACAGCGGCCTTTACCTTGGAATGAACGAGAAGGGAGAGCTCTATGGATCCGTAAGTATTTCATATCTATTTAGGCTTGTATTCCCTTGTAAGTATTTCATATCTATTTAGGCTTGTATTTAGGCTTGTATTCCCTTGCTTATGTAGAGCAAACACCTCAGGCAGCTAGCTGAGGGAGTCTCTGCATTCAAAACATGAAAGTACGCTCAGTTCTCAAAGCGTGTGGCATTGACTTGGGCACTGAGGATTTGAGGGGGAAATCTTTCTCTCTCTTAGATTAAGAACACTGAAAAGAAATATTCTTCTTGCATAGCCAGTCTAAATGGTTATTTTTGTCTTAAATTAAAAAGCCTTTAATTACAGACCTGTTATGGTCAGCATGCTGTAAGTTGTAGTGAGGAGGGCTTTCCTAGACGGATTCATCCAACTTGTATTTAAATCCAAAACTCAAAACTGTGTATGTAGGGGTGCAGTTTTCAAATGAGTAAAGAATAAATGAGCCTTCCAAACTCCGTTGCATGTCTGCATACCCTTTTGAAGTTTGATTAACAGTTGAAAAAACAGTAAGGCAGCACAAAGTCTAAAATGTTTTGTTTACTTTTSATTTTCATGTGTTGTGGTATTTGATCACTGACTGCTGAAAATAGCTTGACTTCCTATTTTCTTTCTCTCCTCCTTTCTGTAGGAGAAGCTAACTCCCGAATGCATCTTCAGGGAACAGTTTGAGGAAAACTGGTACAACACTTACTCCTCCAACGTGTACAAACACGGGGATTCAGGGCGGCGATACTTCGTAGCACTTAACAAAGACGGTACCCCCCGAGACGGGGCGAGGTCCAAAAGACACCAGAAGTTCACGCACTTCCTCCCGAGGCCCGTGGATCCCGAAAGAGTTCCAGAACTGTACAAGGATGTGTTGGGATACAGCTGAGGAGGAGCAGAAGCTCAAGGAAGAGCCATCCTGGAGACATTCAAGGTTACTGCTTTGTCTGACAACACCAGCCATGAGGGAGAGCTGGCAGAGTTCTGCAGTCCTGGATTTGAAGAAGCTGCTTAGTGACAGCCCCACCTCTAATTCCTGGCGTTGGGATTTAGGAGAYGAATCCTTAGAGAGGATCAGCCTCACGTGGGTGTGCGGAACTGTGTGGTAGCCAGGAGCTGATGAGAAGCTGGAGCGTGACTTTTTTTAAATACCAAACTCCTGCTTGTTTGGTCTGGATTACCTACTGTCCTTAGCAAAGAACTACCTACAGTATCTGGATCAGAGAATAGCTGGAAGAAATAGCAAAAAGTGAACTGTAAAATAGCGATAAACCTGGGAACTGTATATGAAGTTGAAGTGGCTCCACTTCTGTGATGGACYTTAGATGTCAATGTATCACAATCAGAGCTGGAACTTTTCTTCATAGGATGGACCTATTTATACATCTCCAGATAGCATATATTTATTTTATATATTTATTTATTGAAGAGTTTATTTTTTACTGGGATATGAAGAGAATACAAGCCCCAAACCCAATGAGAAATCATTTATGGTGCTGATCTTTAGTACTGTCTGAATAGTGTCATGGTGCAGAAATGACATTACATTGCAATGGATCCAAAACCTGGATATTCRTTCAGATCTCATTGTTTATCAGTTATAGATCAAGTTATATTTTGTGCACATACCAATTGTCTCATGTCTCCTTGTTTTGGAGTGAACAGTGGTTATTTTTGACCTAGGAAAGTGCCTTACAGATCTGTACCAAATTCATATGCACATTTGAAAAGGGAATTAAAAATTATTTCACTTTATTGGGTTTACTGTCATTTTTGAAAATGCTAAGTTGCTTAGCACACTGTATGTAGCATTGCAAGCACACAGCAATTATGGAAAGTGTGTTGCAGTTATCTTAGAAGAGCAAGCTATATTAGCTCTGAAAATCTTGATTCACATCACAACATGCTTGATGACATTTTTGCCAAATGGCTCCTGGTATTAACACCTGAATGACTAGAATTCTCTGCATCATTTGAAATGTTTGTGTAGGAGTCCCATCACTGGAGCTGTTTTAAACATTGTGGTAGGCAGGGAAAAAGATTGAGATGGAACAGTTATGGAGTAAAATGTGATACTCTTGGGTGAAGTGTTTGTTTCTCTGCTGAGTACAGAGGAACCTGAGGAGCCTGAAAAGAAAGCAGCCTAAAGAGACTCCTTTTTCATCTCTGTTGCCTCCATTAGGAAATGATCTGCGCATCAGTTTGAGTGAAGCCTGCCAGAGCAAGGATGAGCTATTTCCCCAATGCCCATTCTAACTGAATACTAGATAGATTCCGGAATTTAATTCAGGACTGTCAGTTATGAAACACATTCCTGTGCAAATTGACTTGCAGGAAAATCTCCTGTCTCTCYGAGAATACTGAAGGCCTTTGATAGACCCTGTATGATTTAGACCTCTGCTGTCCTGGAGCTTGCTATGAGGTGCTCACCCAAAGGTGGTGTCTCTTCCTGAGAACTGTGGTGCATTGGGTCCACTTCAAAGTGCTGCTTTGAGTTGCAAGGCTTTTTTTTTTTGTGGATTCATATACGGATGGTTCAAGTACTGCAGGTGTATTAGTTATATCAAACCAAAACATTAATTAAAAGGAACTTCACAGTATATAACTAACTTGCTGGATTCATTACTGTATCAGAACTTCCTCCAATTCATAAAGTGGATGAGCTTAAATTAGTATGGACTGTGGAAAAGATCCTTTCTCCCTCATAGAAATTGATTGTGGGTACATAAAAAGATGTTCAGTATTTTATAGCTGGCAATATGTAACTTACTGAGGTTAAAAGGTGTAATTATAACAGGCAATGGAAGATTCCTTGCACCCTAAATATAGTTTGCTAAACAAATGTTATRATGCACTTTAACTCACCATCAGGTATTGCTTTTATGGTTGACACTGAGTCCCTTTTAAAGAAGATCAATGACTAAACAGAASAGTTTAGGTAGTTTACTTTTTCCTCTGTATTTTTAAAAAATAGTATAGTCCACATAAATTTTATAATAAATCAATCATTGCTGCTCAGGACATAATTCCCATGCCTTTCTGTTTAACTCATACCAATAACAGAATTATGTTTCTTTGCATTAGCAGTTTCCTGTTCACTCAGCTCTTCCCAAGTACATTGAAGATGGCAAGGGTTGCAATCGTTGCTAGACCATATATTTTGTATCCTTATTGTGCTTCTTTCAACAATTTTGATTCAGCCCAAACCAACAATTGCACGTAGTTTTAAGAGGTGAATATTCTTCACCTGAAGTCTTAGCATTCAAACATCTAGCCACAATACAGGTGAAGAAAAAAAAAWGAGCTACATGCTATTATTTGCTCACCCTATTATTGTTTTAGAGAATATATCAATAATCCTGGAACATACTGTAATGGTGATGAATGATAGTACAAAATCTTCAAAGTACTGAAAACCTATAATCAGCTGCATATATTTACACTGAAAACAGATTCTGCATTTTCCCATTTAGTTTAGCTTGAAGAATTTATTTTCATTCTTATTTTATTATTTTATCCATCATAATCTMTGGACGCAGCTAATGCTTTTCTTCTTTCAAAATAGCTGCAAATGTAAATGGATGATGCAGGATGTAGAGGCAGAATTYACACTTTGAAATAGCTATTATGACTTTAGACAAGTACCTTTAGTTGCAAGTTAATGTTTTTTCTTTGTTGGGCTTTCACTTCCATTAGAGAAAGYCCAACTGGATAGAGAGAGTTTGGTATTTAACTAGCAGAATTACTGATTTAGTTGACCCATCATTTTCCTTTGCATCAGACCATATCAGTTTGAAAGTTGTGGATTACATCAATGTCTTGGAAAGTGTAATCTGAAGGCAGTGACATTGTTCAAGGTTCAGAGGAAATCTCTGAAGGCAACAGCATGAACAACTGGCACCTTCACACCTTTCAATAGATTTAAGAGAAAACTTTACATCTTAAATAAATCCCTGCATGTTTGGCCACCTTATTTCTGCCTTCCCATTTTGTTGGAGGTAGGAGAACCATTCAAGGTAGCTATGGRTACTTGCACAGAGTAGGTGCAACTCTACTTGGTGCTTCCCATTTGCTCTCAGAAACTYGAAACCTATTGACCCTTTGATGTCAGAGCTGTCTGAAAATCGGATGCTTCATGTCAGTTCTGCATTGCTTTATATGTTTTACTCTCTACCATTCTCTTTTCCAAGTAATGTCATACATAATATTCTAGTCACACATAGGTTTTTAGAAAAAACAATCACTTCTGAGTGTATTTGAAGCAAAACTGCTACCTTTATTATTAATCTTTGTGGTCTTCTGCAGAGGGCAGAATAACCATTAAAGTTTATGTAGTGTTGTATGTCCTGTAGCTGTGATCTAGGAGATAGGCTATAGAAGAACCCAAGCATTTAAAAGTAGTGTTTTTCCTAGGTGAGCTGATGTAGCCAGAAAAAGCACACAGCTAGTGTAAAAGGCACACTCCTTTCATAAGTCTGAGCCATTTGTACTTGCATTTTGGTGCAGTTTGGTACAGCCTGTATCTTTGTGTTTTTGTCACGAGCTTATTGGTGACATCTTTCACACCCAGATGTGCCCACCAGCCTCTCAGACACTATTTGAAGTTCAATTCACAGTACAGCCATGCACTCCAGTAGCACTCCAGGCTGTTACAGAATTGACTTTGTAAAGTGTGAGAATCATTTACCAAATGCACTTTCATTATAGCTTTCCTTGTCACTTCAAAAAATTTCTTAGTGATTTTCTTTTTTACAGATTTTTCATAGCCATCCAATCTCTGCTCAGTAACTTTGTAAGGTCTTATCTGAACATAATTCTTTACCAGCAGCTATATCAGCTATGGGTGTGACTTTTTTTTTTTTTTTTAATTGATGTAATCAGGCTAGTACCAGCCTACTGTGGCTCTATTTATACCTTTACAAACTTATACCATTAAACCTCATTCCTTTCCTGTATGGCAATATACTCAATTGAGGTAGGGAATATTTACATATCAAAAATGCATCTTCACTATTACCTTAACATACTGGTCAAAATCTATATTATAAATCCTAARAGCATTGTTCTAATCTATGTAATAAATCCTTTAAGCATTGGCAAAATACTTAACAATTTTTCATCTATCTCCTYACTGTTAGAGATGCTATCTGAGAGGGCATCTCCTGGAAGTCTTCCTGCCTTCATTTGCTCCTTTCGCTTTTCATGTGAGCAAAGCTATTGTCTTCACTGCTGTTAAATTCCCTGAGATTTTTTTTTTAATACTGTAACCTTTTGAAGACTAGTGGAGTATGAATATAACATGGCTGCACAAGACCAACCACAGTCCTGCAGCTTTACTGCTTCGTGAGGAGGGTGTGGATAAGACAAATGTATACTTTGGGCATTCATCATAGAAGTCAAACCACCAGGCCTAGGAGCTGAAGTCAATTCTTCTCCAGGTCTTTTACTTTGATGAAGCAGAGAAGTAAACTAAACTGTTCACATAGTTGAAGATCATGGTGTGGAATTGCAGAATTCCTGGATGTCTGCAATTGACCTGCTTTTCCTCAGATATTTCTCTTAAAACAGTTTCTTTTGCAACAGCATATTCAACTGTTGTGGTGATCTTGATGCTCTTTGGGTACTAGGTGTCAGTGTATGTCTCTATATATATGGGCTACTTTCAGTACAAGAGAAGAAATACATTGCTATAAATATGGGAAGTAAATTGTGATGTTGGCATATACCACCAAGATGTTAACTGGGGAAGCTTTTAGTTTATGATCTTAGTTTTACCKATGTTTTTGTTATAAAGATTTGCAGCCCAATGTCATGTAGTGATTTTTTTGTTTGTTTGTTTGTTTGTTTTTTTGTAGTCAGAAATATATGAGCAGAAGGACAGAAATATGTAAGTAGTTTGTTACCCATGAAATAGTTATGAATAAGTTGTGCACAAATAAGAAAAAAAAAAAAAGGAAGAGGTCAAAGAATTACTTCTACTGCCAGTTGGAGATGTATTAAATTTCAAAAAGAAATCGGCTGGCAACTTGCCAAGACAACTATTTCATCTGCAACATGATCAGACACTACAACTGTTCTAAAGTTTTAGCAAAAAGAGAAAATATTAATTAAACTAAGGGTAAACAAACTCTCTGTATTTTGAAGGTGGCCAGAGTGCTAGTGCTATTGCTACAGCAAATCTTTAGTAAATGAAGTTCACAAGGAAAAGGGTAAGAGAGTTAGAAAGCCAGTCTTTTGAAAAAAAGATTAAGAAAAAACTTTCTGTGATAAAGCCTTGGTTTATGTATTTTGAACTCATTTTATAGGAAAATTGAATCACAGTTTACCCACACTTAAAATATCACAAACCATTATTTTCGTGTCATTCAAGTCCTTAGTGTTGCTTGTCTTATGAACAGAGCCCTAGCTACATGTCATGTGTCCCTAATGGTTGTCACCTCTTCACATATATGGCTACATTAGCATGTATTTGTGAAAGAGGCTTTGCAAATTAGTTACAGGTGTTTCCTGTATCATTGCAAATAATAATCCCAGTGGATGACTCCTTCAAGGAGCAACTTCACGTCTTTATTAAGATCTTCCATCAATCTTTAACAAAAGTGACAGTAAAGTGCCCTTGACACAGCTCTGGACACATGGGCACAACCGGGATACTCTCAGCAGATACACCCAAGACTAGATACTACATCCAAGACTCCTTTTTCTCTTTTGGTATGATAAACCCTTTAGCTAGCC